GGGAAAGTGAACGCTGGTCTTTGGATATAAGCGCGACTAATTTCGAGTCATCTACGTTTGGAACCTAAGTAATCTGCACGTGAAAGGAGAGCAGGTAGTCTCGTTAACCTCTTGCTTAAATTCTTATCGAGAATTTTTCGCTCCAATATTGCAATAATCCCTCAGCTTCGAGTGATATTTCAGTAAAACAAAATAGGCAGAAACAAATAAATGAACTTGCTACGTCTCAATAATTTCTATCCAGCGATGTCGTATCGACGAGTTCGAAAAGAAAGCGACGACTGGCCACTCGTTATGGTCCGCAATCGATTGCCAACGGAAGAGATCTTGCACAAAGAGGCCGCCGCGCGGCGTAGTTCGTGCTTGATTTTTAGATGGACGAAGAAGTTCGTTTTCCACGGCTCGCTTTGATACAGGTCACGGTGGCAAAAAAGATCGGGCAAACCCGAGTCCAGGCCAGCACAGCGAGACATGTGTTACGTGTTAACTCGCACGCTGGCTTTCTCGGCGACCAGTTGCATCAGCCGGAGGAAACGACGAGATTGCTCGTGTCCCTCTCACTTTAGCTTGCACAGTCAATTAACACTTGCTGCTTTTTTTCATCCTTCTTTTGCACATTCTTCCTTCTCTCCTCACTTTCATCTCTCTGTCTCTCTGTCGTTCGTCGATAAATTTTTCATACAGGTTTTGCAGACCATATTCACCCTTTCCCATTGGAAATAAACCCTTTTGCAGATCAAGTTCGACTCAAAAGTGAAACGATACACTTTATTGTTTCTACTATAGCAGTGACGGAGAACTGCTTTTTGAAAAGCAGGTCAAATTTTGTTCATTATTTTTTTTTTTTTTAGTATTAGCTCGTGGGTCACTAAGTCAGTGGCGTCACTTGCAAAGGGGAGTATGGTTAAAAATTACTTTTCTTTGGTTCTCACTTTTGTAATCCTCTAAAAGGTTTCCCTTTTGTTTTACAACTTTTACTTTTGCAAGTGAGGAGCAAGAAATAAATGTCGACGTCAAAAAATTGATATAAAAGGAGTGACATCATGCTCAGTCACCCCTGCACTATACATTATATATATATATATATATATATATATATATATATATATACATATACTTTATTTCTGAATATTTTTTTATTGTCTGTTCTCTCTTTTATTACAGAAAAAACTAGCCAAGCTAGCCATTCTGAGAATGGGATCTAGTGTGTTTTTTAGTGTTTGTTACATCTATTTAATCGTAAGCGCTATATAAAATTTTTTGGACACAATTAACTCATATTAACATTTAAGACTTAAAATACCTATATGTATACAAAACCAAGTCGTAAATCCTCCATAAAACACAATTACACACTTGTAATTTTCTTAACATTTTTTGAAAAGAGGGGTTCGAAAAATAATTAAAATTCTTTTATATATATGATGATAAGTTTATAAAAATCAGTGTCTGATCCATCATAGGTTCGCCATCATTGTACCATACTCAATGACGAAGAAATCTTCAAGTAAAATCCCCTCATTGAAAGAAAGAAGTCTTTTCAAAAATTAAATTCCATGCAAGAAATATTTTGTTTCATCTGTCAAACCACAAACGTTTAGTAGATGTTATTAATCATTCTGTTGCAAACTATCGTTCCTACAGATTATTATATAAATATGTATACTTATTTCTCTTCTATACATGAATCTATATGTGTCCACACAAATACTTTTAATGTTAAACAAGTCATTTTACGTCATTTTGTGTTACCTTTGTACAACGCAATAAAATTTTCCATTTCGGAATAATAACTTTTACATGGTTTTTGCCACTTACAATAACTTCATTTTTATCAATGGCTCGGAGAAAACGAATTTGTCGAAAATTTGTAGGAAATTTGCAAGAGGGTTGATTTAAAGTGCAAAACCTGTATCTTCGTTTGCTTCGATTACTAAGCCAGAGAGAAAAGAAGAAATATCTTGATTCGATAAATCGCAAAACTTCGACACGCCAAAGTTTATTGAATTCCAACGTTCCAAAGCGAATAATTGCACAAGAATCCATTAAAATTCCAATGTACCAACTGCTCTCTCTTCTTCACAAAAGGTTTTTCGCGTTCCTCAGTCTCTTTATTGCATTACTACTTCACATCGGTTCCTGTTCCCATTATCAGAATCAGAAATAGTAATTAACCGTAATTTCGTTATCTTATTAGCCCTAATTTCCTTATCTTCTTAACGGGTAAAGAAAAAATCCGCTTACAGTCGGGAGTCGAGCTCGAGCTGTTGGAAAAGAGTACCGTGGATTTGTAATAAAGGGGGAAGGGAGTCTCGTGGAATTTTTCACAGCATCCCTTGTCGCTCATCTCGCCGTTCAAAATTTGATTATTACCGAGTTTTACCGTTTTTGTTTTTTTTTTTTTTTTTGGTTTTTTTTTTCGCTCAGTAGATTTCGAATCGAAATCTCGACTATACAGGCTGTTCCATTTGAAATTATCCCGTCACAGGGAGAAAAATGTTTTAAGTAAAGTTAAATACTTTTCTTGGAAAAGATCTTCACAAATCCTGTCTGATTTTAAGTGGATTTTAAAATGATCTCTATTTTTTTTTTTTTTTTTTTTTTTTTTCTTAACAAAACTATGTATATTTCTCTAAGATCACACTGATTAATATTTAAAGATTTAGGTTGGGTATGCTGCTTTAAGTATCAATACACTCCATTTCTAAAGGATAAAAATGTCATTTACGTTGTTTATCTGAATAAAAAGTAAAATACATAGTGTAAAAAAAAAAAAAAAAGACAAAGGTCACTTTGAAATCTCAGAAGCATGTCCAGACTATAGATCTCTGACCATCATAAGTTTCACTCGAAACATTCTTTTTCTACAAACGAACAGTTTAAGAGATAAATGGAAGCCACTGTACACTGTCATATTTGAGAACTTCGAAACGTTCGCTCGAAAAAGAATAGATACAACTGAGACTGAACATAGAGACTGACATAGAGACTGAAAACCGAAATATTTTGAGGTTTAGGTATTATACCCAGAGCCTGAAACCGAAATATTGCGAGGTTTAGGTATTATACCGGTATTTGCTCCCATATTACCGTAATACAACCGCTATTTGGAAAATCGGTTTTAATCTCGGTATAAGACGGTCATACGTATTTTCATACGTATTTTATCGGTATTTGATGTCCACAACAGTAAAAATACCGCAATATATACCGGTACGGTACCGCTTTACTGACGAAAACACATTTTTCATTTTCTACGTACAGTGACTCTTATTAATATTCGGACATCATGCTATTCAAAATATTGTTGTGGATTTCGATTGTTTGTAATAGTAAATTTGGATTAATTTTTTAATAATATAATAGAACAGTCATTATAGTTTATAGTAACGTAAATTTTATTTATTTGTTGCACATACTTTTCTCAATATCAAATAATAAACTGTACTGTGTCGAAATGTAGCGTGGCAAAAATATTCGGACATTTGAGGAACTACAATATTTGAACCTGAAAATTGTTAACATGAACAATAATTAATATTTTGTTAGGTAGCTTTCAACTTCAATAATATATCGCAGACGCTTAGGCATATTTCCAGTAATTGTTTTTTAGCGGAATATTCTTACATTCTACGATTAATCGTTGTTTTAACTCCTCTTTCGATTTATTGACATATGACAATTAGTCATTTTTCACCGAAAAAAAGGAAAAACGGTCATCTTTTAAAATTAAGTAAGAGTATCGTGGCTGATATTGTATGGAGATACAACGATGAATTAGTATTAGAAATAATAAAGAATACGTGTATAAGCGTCATCAAATTTACTATCGGCAGCTTTATGAAAACATTTAATCATTGTCTCCCTTTCCTTTTCTAATATATTAGTATTTTATTTACCGGTATTATACCGAAATACATCTACCGACCTAACATCATTTCGGTTTCATCAAACGTAATCGAATAGTAACCTAAAAATTCCGGTATTTTACCGGTATCCGTAATACCGATTCAGTCTCTGGATACAAACGACTCACTGGCTCCATTACCTGTTATTTCCACCCATCTCTCAACCAGCCACATATTTCAGTCTTATCGTCAGCGCCGTTTTGAAAATTCATGCGACGCAGGACAAACGAACTTCCAACGCGATGAAATATCGAGAGGAGTGATTTTTATCTCCATCGAGAGCTCGATCCCCCCCCCCCCCTCCCCCAATAAAATCGGAGCTTTCATCGAGTCTCGATTCTCGCGAAAAAAATCTGACGAAACAAAAAAGGAGCCGGCGTTTAGCCGTTTTCACGCGACTGAAAACCCTTCTCTCCGACTAGTAAGCTCGATCGAAAAAAAAAGAAAGAAAAAAAAAAAAGAAAAAAAGAAAAAAAAAAAAGAAAAAAGAGGCGAAAAAGGAAAAAGCACCCGAGGCGAGCCGTTGGCGCTTTCATTCAGGACACGCACACGCTGCGACGAATTAACGTAGTCGACGAATAGTCATTAGCGTGAACTTTTAACAAGCGTTTCCGAGCAGATGCGAGCATTCGCCGTTGGCGAAATTTGCAACAAAGAGCGGCTGCAGTCCGGGTCCGAAGCGGCTGCAAACGCATCGGACATCTGCAACCGCAACTTTTTCTCGCCCGAGCACGCTCGCAACCGAGAATGCTCGCTGCTAATTGTTCCACGAAAACTGCCCCACCCCGCTGCGAATAAATCGCGCGATAAATAAATGAAACGGAGACTAAATTCGTGCTCCCGTTTCTCTCGAGCTTTAGCTGCTGCTTGAAATTTGTATTTCAACCGGACGAAGGAAGGAAGGAAGGAAGGAATCGCGAGGTAAAATAATACGGCGAGATCGATCGAGCTTTTTAGTCAATAGTCGGGTGTCTTCGAAAGAAAACTCATCCTACCGGACGAGCAAACAGAAGATAACGCGTGTTGCAGAGAAGAATCAATTACCTCATCGCCGAAACTTTCCCCAATCTGATTGAATTCGTGTTCACGTACCTCGAGTGTTTGACCTGAAAAAGAAGAAAAAAGAGTTATTTCTAACTGATGTAGTTATGGCAGTTTAATTCGAATATGTGTCATACTTTGTATATTAATTACATACTTTATTATTATATTGACGCAAGTAACCCCACGTTTTTCAGTCAAGTGGGAATAATTTTTTTTTTTTAATTTCTGTGTATAAATAATGAATAATGCCTTAACTTGTAGATGATATAAATATACAGGGGAACAGGTAGAGGTGATTTCTGGTGAAAAAAATAAGTCGAAAATAAATTATAAGAGGATAAAATTATTATACACGAACTTGGGTAATTCTAAATGTATTAGAAAAAAGTAATCAATAGGAAGTTGTCCTACGTGCGAAAATAGGTCAAAAAACGTAGATTAAAATTCTTCATTTTCAAGAAAATGTAGACTTCGAATGCACGAGTATTTGATAAACTTTCGAGACTCGACTTTCTCGAGAACGATGCCTCGGACGAACAATTTCTATTCTACACTTTCAACTTATGTTTCAAGCAGAAACGCACTTCAAAACGAGGCCAAGCGAATGGTTGCATAATGTCTGCTTACAAACGTTGAAATTCACTTTAAAAATTATCCACACAATTTTGCATTTTCGTTGGAACAGTTACGTTCCTCATTCTCAATGAAATCTGAATTAAAAACTTAATATCAAAATCCCTCAATACAGTATTATTCGAATTTATTTCTGAATTGAAAATTAATACAACCATTATTTCTCTCCAGACAGAAGTATCGATCTACACGTTTCCTAAAGAGCCTATTAATCCGCGACACAGAGAGAGAGAGAGAGAGAGAGAGAGAGACCGCATAACGTCCGAGGAACGTGATTGCGCTTATCTCTCGTCCGACAACGGGGATTCTCGTCGGCCATTCGTCAAGCCAGCCACATTTTCGTCTCGAGCAACGTCAGCTTCCAGGAAACGTTCGAAATGTGGAGCATTAAAATTCAACGGCGCATCAGGAGCTGTAAAGCGTAAGCGACCTTTCCGGCTAACAGAGAAAATTCTCTCTCTCCCTCTCTCTTTACACGATGTTAAAGGTCTCTGCTAGGGACAGGAGAACCGCGTCCAATAAGCGAGAAGGGGAACCAAGCTCTCGCACAAGTGCCCGTCTCTTCCATCTCTAAGGATTATCCTGGACTACCGGCCGATGTCCCTCCTCATTTGTCGTCCCTTTATGGCTCGTCGTCAGTGATTCCCCGTCCAACCTCGTCCAAAGAACAGCTATAGTTCCCTCTTTCCTTTCTCGCGTTCGTCGTCCCACGATTCACGCGGTTCCGGAACACGATCTATAGAGCTCGCGTCGCTCGAGAGCTACAAGGCGATATCTTTCACGATTTGTCCCGATTACTTTTAACCACTTGCGCTGGAAGGAGAATTTTTTTTTTTTTTTTTTTTTTTTTTTCNATGTGAGCAAACGATAAGTTTATTGGTTCTCAATAATTTCTATTTTTTTGGTCCCAATTTGCAACGTTTTCTCGGTTTTAAGTATATTTAAATGTGAGCAAACGATAAGTTTATTGGTTCTCAATAATTTCTATTTTTTTGGTCCCAATTTGCAACGTTTTCTCGGTTTTAAGTATATTTAAATGTGAGCAAACGATAAGTTTATTGGTTCTCAATAATTTCTATTTTTTTGGTCCCAATTTGCAACGTTTTCTCGGTTTTAAGTATATTTAAATGTGAGCAAACGATAAGTTTATTGGTTCTCAATAATTTCTATTTTTTTGGTCCCAATTTGCAACGTTTTCTCGGTTTTAAATATATTTAAATGTGAGCAAACGATAAGTTTATTGGTTCTTAATAATTTCTATTTTTCTGGTCCCAATTTGCATCGTTTTCTCGGTTTTAAGTATATTTAAATGTGAGCAAACGATAAGTTTATTGGTTCTCAATAATTTCTACTTTTTTTGGTCTCAAATTGCAATATTTTCTCAGTTTTAAATATATTTAAATGCAAACAAACGATAAGTTCATTGCTCCTTAATAATTTCTACTTTTTTGTTCCAAATTGCAACATTTTCTCAGTTCCAAGTATATTTAAATGTAAACGAACGATAAGTTCTTAATAATTTCTATCCAGTGATATCATACCGACGAGTACTTCTTAATAATTTCTATCCAGTGATATCATACCGACGAGTTCAAAAGGAAAAGAAAGCGACGAATTATTTTATACAATTCGGTCACTCGTTATGGTCTGCAATCAGTTGCCAGCGCAAGTGGTTAACGTTTAACGCCCATTTTCGTCTGTAATTCTCTGCAAAATCGAACTCTCCGGTTTCGTGAAACGTTCACACGTAAATGCTTACACGTAGAGCTTACTTTCGATTCGATGAAGCCTGAGAAGATTAATTCCAATCTCATCAGGACGATTTGAAATTTTCGTGTAACGTAAGCACGTGCTGACGTGGGATCGTGTGAAAGCGGCAAAGGAACCTGTGCAACGATCCCCGCTCTGAAAACAGCTCTGGGAACAAGGCTGATCGTTTCGTTCGCTTATCGAGGCTTATGTTATTAAGTAAAACTTAGGTCCAGAGCGAAACGAACGAACGAAGCATACACGACGAGGTTGCACGAGGTTTTCAACTCGCTGTTGGACGGAGAGCCGCCACGGTGGTTGCGCTTTCAGATACTTGGACGACGGACATCGAAGTTTCGAGATAAGCCGATCGAACGGGTTAGGCTCGTGAATCGCGATGGAAGTTGATCCACGGCGGTCACGCGAAACAGCAATCTGGCTGGCGAACTCTGTGTACAGAGTGTCCCGGGTGTATTTGGCGGTGAACAACCGAGAACGGGATGATTCTATGCGGAGAAACGAGGAAAAAGAAAAGAAAGGATGAACTTTGTTCGTCGAAGCCTTCGTTTTCGATTCGAGAAAATCGAGTTCGTCGAGTTCATCAACCTGACTTTAGTTAATTGACGTGCGCGAATAATCGACGAATATTCTTGCACGAAAATAAGTGGAAAATAAGTGGAAAAGCGTGGAATAAAAATTTGCTGGTCGAAGCAAAAGCATTTTCAAGAGAATGGAGTTTGAATGTGTCTCGTTAAAAATTACCTTGGTAACTCGATCTTCTCGGAAACGAAACATTCTACAAAAAAAAAATTCTATTTCACATTCTTTTACTCAGTTTTATATAACGTATTACAGAATAACTTTCCACTACTAGTCTAGAATTATCTAAATCAATTATACTGGTATTAACCACTTGCGCCGGCAACTGATTGCGGACCATAACGAGTGACCAAGCCGTACCGCAGTAATTTGTCGCTTTCCTTTTGAACTCGCCGGTATGACACCGCTGGGTAGAAATTATTGAGAAGTAATAACAAATTTATTATTTGTTCTGCCCGAGTTATACTTAAACATACTCAAAACTGAGAAAATATTGCAATTTTGGGAGGAAAAATTCTCGACGTGCGTGGCACGTCATTCCAGCACAAGAGATTAAGTACACTGAAATTTTTAAACTCGATCCTCTCCAAATCGAAGGTTTTAACAAAAAAAAATTTTTTGTTCTGTCTTTTGGACTCATTTCTTCACCTCTTATACTAAGTCACCTTTTATATCGACGAAATATATATATATATATATATATATATATATATATATTCAAGAAGAGAGCAACACGCGCGACACAGAGAATTTTTTTCGGCACGCTCGAGCACGCCCGGTGAAAGTGGTCGAAAAATGGTCGTTTCCATCGCGACGGAGCGTGCACGCGTGGACGTGAATTCGTGCGAACCGGTCACGCGAGCCGATAACGTGCTCGTTGGACACGCGTCCGATAAAAATTGAACGGCCGGGCGTAAAGTGCAACGCGCCCCCGCTCGATTACAACATTTACAGACAGGCGTAATAATAAAAGCGTGCGTGAGCCGGTTGCCCGAGTACGTTATCGCGCAATGCCGTTACCCTGGTAATAGACTTAATCAAGAGTAATAGACCGTACGTCTATCTATTAATAGCAACCGTTATGGCGTGTGCCGCGATGCACGCTGTAATTCGATGACGCAGACTTTATATACGCTTGTTCTCTCCGTCTGTTTCTCATTTCGACGTTCTATCATTCAAGGTCTTCCACTAAATTACAATTTAACCCGTTTTTACAATAGGACTACAATATGACGAGATTCAGTTTACTAACAATCAGAATTAGCATTCGAAAAGTAAGGAGTTTCTATATGAGTATTTATAAGGCATGGAGTTTCATATTTTTCAATTTCACACGGACAGCTTTGGACCACATCTTTTCGTCTATCTTTCGTAGAAATGTATATCGGCTCCTATTCTGTATATTTCTCTTTAAATGCGCAATAAAATTCGACGATACATTAAGGCAGAGGTGGCGAACTGGCGGCCCGCGTGGCTAGTGCCCCCACTCTTTCAGTCGGTAGGGTGACCCCCCTCCACTGCGTCGATCTCCCCACTCCAGCTTTGACTTACTGTTAGCCAAATCAAAGAAAGAAAGAACGCACAGGGCGGAAACTAATTTTCAACGGTGGAGGAAAATTGCAGACAAACTGAGTGATCAGCTCGTACGAACTTCTAATGCAACCGACTGAATCCCACACAGCGCGATCGCGCGTATTCAGATTTTTCGTGTCGGCAGTGCGTTTTAATACAATATGAAACCGATGGTTCATTGATTTCGTCAATGAATCTGCAACGTGCCAACACTGCGTGCGTTCACTAATGCAATCCTAAAACCACCACCGTGTGTTTCACTAAGTTGGCACTAAGTTCAGTTTCAAAATCGAAGGTGTGGAATTCATCTACGAACCTTGTACTCGCGCGTACAGCCAGAAGCAACCTGATCTACGAAGAAAGAGATACTATACGTATCCAAAGTCCACTTCTTCGAGGCGCAGGCTGTTCCTTGAAGGAACAGGTTCGTTAAAAAGAGAAAAAAAGAAAAAAAAAGTTCTTTTCGTTCACGCGTTGTCATCCATCCGTGAGTCATGAGTTTCTCCAC